CCAGCCCGACTGCCCAGTTCAGTGGACCGGCTGGACCAGTTCAGTCAGTTATTTTCAGTTTCAGTCCCGGTTTTCAGTTTCAGTGATTTTATCAGTTTAATTTCCGGGTCAAGATCAGTTCAAATAATTATTAACAGCTTAATTTCATACTTAGCCAGTTTTAGTTATGCCGAATAGGTCCGAATATCATGTTAGATTTGAGAGAGCATCTTAACCTAATTAATCAGTTAAATTTATCAATCTGAGCATAGTCAATAGTAATTGTTTATATTATTTTCAGTTTGATCAGGCATCAGCACTTTCCCTATCAGTTCAGTTTTCAGCAAAATCAGGTGGGGACTCAGACTAAGTATCACATGGTTTATAATTACGTTACCATGGTCGAGGTATGTATATTCAGATACCGCTCGGGGTGGTCGCCGGTCCATCCTGAGTTTTAGTGGCCTGATCTAGCCACTAGAGTGTGCACATGGTCCGGTGTTAGTTTCGCCGGGAGATTTATCAGTTATCAGTTATGTGACTTCGGTCGCGAGATTCAGTTATCAGTTACGTGACTTCGGTCGCGAGATCAGACCGGTTATCAGTTTATATCAGTTCATGTCATGTCAGTTATATATACTCAGTTCATGATCATGTTATTATTTACGATGTTTTACATTAGCATGAGTTTCTGCGGAGCACAGTGCCTTAGTGCTCACGCCCCACATTTATCATGTTTTTCAGGTCGCAGGGTCGGCGATGAGCAGTGAGCGGGACGGGCTGTTCAGGACTTTTATGATTGATGTATCTTTATGTAAACCACGCTTAGACTTCCGCTAAAACCTTCAGTACTTTTATTCAGATTCCAATCGGATGTTGTTGGATAAAACATTTATAACCGTTTTTAATAATTTTTAGTTTAAAATTTGAACGGTTTTCAGAAAGTCATGTTTCATGGTAGCATCCCGATCAGTTTTCGCATAAAATAAGTAATTTATCTAAGTTTTCAGTAATTTGCGAAAAACCCGCGTACTTTTATGTATATCAAGAAGCGGGGTGTTACAGCTTGGTATCAGAGCGCGTTTTTGCGTCTCTGAAAAGTTTTTCAGTCAAAAATTTTCAAAAATTTTCAGAAAAACCTGAACCGTCACGCTCACGCCTCACCGACACCAGGTAAGTGCTGATTCAGTTTTTCAGTTATAAACATATTACTTTGTCTATGCTCAGAAATCAGTAATCAGACTTAGTTAAGATGCTCAAATCAGATTCGGACTTTAGAGTTCAGATATAACTCTAGAATTCAGGGCTATCAGTATGACTCTAGACTTTAGTATCTTTCGATATGACTCTAGAGATCCTCAGGTTTCATGTCAGTTAATATCCGCCACTTTTGGTGACTCGTGCAGAAATTTGTGTGCCTTAGCAATCAGTCAGAATATCATCATGTGTTCAATGATTTCGAACTTTTTCAATATTCAGATGGCACCAACTCAGGCTACCGTGGTCGCTCAGTTCCGCGATTACCATGCCGAGAAGTTCTCAGGGCAGGGAGACCCTCGCATAGTTGACGAGTGGATTCAGGGCCTGGAGTTTATCTTCGAGGTCATGGAGTGCCCTGAGAGATTCCGCGTCATCTGCGCTCAGCTTCAGCTCACCGGAGATGCTAGGCTCTGGTGGAACGCCTACTGGGGCATGCGCCCCGGTGAGAAGGCGGCATGCACGTGGGAGATGTTCAAGGAGCTAGTCCGGGAGAAGTACTATCCCGCCTACTACCGAGCTGAGATGGAGCGCCAGTTTCTATCGCTCCAGCAGGGTACTCGCACTGTCGACGAGTACGAGAGGGAGTTCACGAGACTTGCAGCCTTTGTTCCCGATCTGGTCCGTTCGGAGGCCCAGCGAGCGCAGCGTTTCATTGACGGACTATACCCAGCAGTCCGTCATAACATCGTCGGCCACGGGACGCAGATATATGCTCGTGCTGTCTCCATTGCTCAGGAGGTTGACGCGAGTCTCAGGAGGGAGGCCGCTCGTGGACAGTCGTCTTCAGCTCCACTGGTGCTAGCCCCACAGACTCAGCCGCCCAAGAAGAGGAAGGACAAGGGTGCCCCGACAGATAAGAGGGCTCGACGGAGGCTCCAGGTTCCACAGTGCCCTACATGTGGACGACATCACCGAGGCGAGTGTCGTTTTGGTCAGGATGTGTGCTACTACTGCCATGAGGCCGGACACTTTGCGAACCGTTGTCCGAAGAAGCCGCAGCAGGCTCAGCAGCCTCAGCGGCCTCAGCAGCCACCGCAGCAGCAGCAGCCCCGTCAGCAGGCACCGAGACAGCCTCAGCAGCAGCAGCAGAGGGGTAGACCGCAGGCCAGAGTCTACGCCATTGATCAGGCAGAGGCAGAGCAGCAGCCAGGTACCATGTCCGGAATGGTTATTCTTAATATTGTTCCTGTGTTTGCTTTGTTTGATACTGGAGCGACACACACTTTCATTTCACGACGGTGTCTTGACGCCATCGGAGTTCGAGCAACTTCCGCTATCGATCCTCTCGAGGTGAGTTTGGCCTCGGGGCGAAAGATAGTGACTTCAGCCAGAGCCTCAGATCTTAGCCTTTCCATCGGTGGACGAGTATTGCCTACCGACGCGTTTGTTCTCGAGATGAAGGACTTCGACCTGATTCTCGGAATGGATTGGCTATCCTTCTATCATGCAGATATCAAGTGCCATGACCGGGAGATTACTCTTTATCTTCCGAGAGACGAGTCGATTACTTTCTTCGGCTCCAGCAATCGTTCTTTGCCTCAGGTTGTTTCTATGGCGAAAGCCACTAAGTTGCTGAGACGAGGCCGCCACCAGGGTTATCTGGTGAGCCTTGTTGATGATTCTCAGGCGGCACGTTCACCTCACGATGTCCCAGTCGTTCGAGAGTTCGTGGACGTTTTCCCAGACGAGCTTCCAGGAGGACCGCCTAACCGTCAGGTGGAGTTCACGATAGACCTCATTCCAGGGGCCGGTCCAGTGTCCAAAGCCCCGTATCGTATGGCACCTAAGGAGTTGCAGGAGCTTAAGGAGCAGATTCAGGAGTTGCTACGGCTCGGTTTCATCCGACCGAGCGTGTCACCTTGGGGAGCACCCGTTCTCTTTGTTAAGAAGAAGGACGGATCCATGCGCATGTGTATCGACTACCGGGATCTTAACCGGTTGACGATCAAGAACAAGTATCCGCTTCCCAGGACTGATGACTTATTTGACCAGCTGAGGGGAGCCTGTGTGTTCTCAAAGATTGATCTGCGATCAGGCTACCACCAGCTGAAGATCAAGGAGTCAGATATCGCTAAGACCGCTTTCAGGACTCGTTATGGCCATTACGAGTTCGTAGTCATGCCTTTCGGTCTCAGCAATGCGCCAGCAGTTTTCATGGATCTCATGAACCGTATCCTTCATTCCTACCTCGATCAGTTCGTCATTGTCTTTATTGACGATATCCTTATCTACTCGAAGAGTCAGAAGGAGCACGAGGAGCATCTGAGGGTGGTTCTCGAAACCCTCAGACGAGAAAAGTTGTTTGCAAAATTCTCCAAATGCGAGTTCTGGCTCCAGCGAGTATCCTTTCTGGGTCATGTGATTACTTAGGCAGGTATCGAGGTGGATCCTTCCAAGGTTTCAGCCGTTCAGAACTGGTCGACACCGAGGAGTCCGACTGAGGTTCGCAGTTTTCTCGGTCTAGCTGGATACTATCGCAGGTTCATCGAGGCTTTTCCAAGAACGCCCTCCCTCTATCCCAGCTGACGACGAAGTCTGTGAAGTTCGTGTGGACTGATAGATGTGAGTCGAGCTTTCAGGAGCTCAAGAGGAGATTAACTTCAGCACCGGTGTTGACTATTCCCGATCCTACTCGGAGTTTCACCATCTTCAGTGATGCTTCGAAGCAGGGCTTGGGATGCGTCCTTATGCAGGACGGCCAGGTCGTTGCGTATGCGTCCCGTCAGCTTAAGCCGCATGAGCAGAATTATCCGACGCACGACTTGGAGTTAGCAGCAGTCGTTCATGCTCTCAAGATTTGGCGGCACTATCTTTACGACGGTCACTGTGAGATCTTCACAGATCATAAGAGCTTGCAGTATATCTTTACTCAGAAGGAGCTCAACATGAGACAGCGCCGTTGGTTAGAGCTCGTCAAGGATTACGACTGCTCTATTCAGTACCATCCGGGGAAGGCGAACGTCGTCGCAGATGCCCTGAGCCGGCAGGTAAGGGGTGACTTGACGTACGTCATTACTCAGCAGAGTCCGCTGATTCAGGAGTTTGCCCGGATGCAGCTTCAGGCGATCGATGCGCTCTCCGTAGCAGTTTCGGGGAGTACCAGTGCCAGTATCAGTGCTATGCAGCTTCAGCCGACGCTGAGAGAGAGAATCCGGCGAGAGCAGGCTTCTGACGAGTTCGCTCGTGTCATGGAGGCCAAAGTTCGCGCCGGAGGCGTCGAGGGTTTTCAGCTAGGTGCCGATGGTGCCCTAGAGTTCAGAGGCAGGATCGTGGTCCCGAAAGTTGAGGCGTTGCGGAAAGGGATTTTATTAGAGGCCCATACCGCACCCTATTTGGCCCATCCCGGGAGCACGAAGA